TGCACAATGCTTGCACACAGTTGCACTTTTATCCACACTTTCTTTCCGCCGTCATCGTAGGTCACTCTAAATGCAAAGTGGTCCCATACAGCAGACCTATAAAGTGCTGCTGGAGCGTCTTCCAACTCCTGTTCTTTCCCACTCGCCATACCCACACAATTCTCCACAACAACTGTTTTTTTCCCCTGCTACACCCGGCTAAGCTGCTTCGCTTCTTCTTCTTCTGTTTACTACTGGTGGTTGGCTTTGGTCGCAGTACCGCCACCTTCTGCTCTGGAGTGTAAACGCTTCGCCTATGAGAAAAAGGAGACGCGCATGAACCGAACGCAACACACGCGAATCGAACCGAGACAGTCGAACCGAACGGTTCGGATGGTTTTCATAAATCGTCCCATCCCTAATATATATATAGAGTTATACAGATTCTTCAGAAGTGCCCCACTAACTTCAATAGACCCCAGCCTCCTTAGGGGCTTGAGTCTGCTCTAAGCAATCCTGTAAACAGATCTAATTCAAAGCCATCTTATTGGTTGTTGTATGTTAATATAAAGTAGTTGTGCTTCAGTGTATATCTGTTCAAAAGTACAAAGCTACAGTAAAGCTGTTGTACTTCAAATTAAAGCTGCTGTACCTTAGTGTATCGTTGTATTTCAGTGTAAAGAAAATGTTTGCCACTTTGCTGTCTCTCCTGTGATCTTACTTGTAATTGCCACAGTGATGTCAGCAGGTGTTCTGGGTGTGGTCTCGGAGTGGGGGGGACTGAGTGGCTCCAGGCTAATGGACGGCTGGTTTTGGTCTCTCAGTGGCGCCCTCTGGCTTCCAGATGTATGGCCACCCAGACGCTCCACATCCAGCACCACAGTGTCCACACAGGGAAAGCTGGTCTGAGCAAAGAGGACAAAGGGGACACTGTCATCCTTCACACCCTCCTTAAAGCTTTTGCTGTTGGTGTCGACTTACCATGATGCCTAGGGCTTTGAGGATGTTAAGTTTACACATGGGACAGGTGCAGTGCTCGTTTAGCCATGGGTCCACACACACTTTATGAAAGACGTGTCTGCAGGAAACCCACACAGGTTATCAGTTAGTCCTGACATAGATTCAGTGATGCAGATAGGAAAATATAAGTCAGGCATTAACAGTTTTCTCTGTGCTTCACAGGTTGATGTTTTATTGGTCTAACCCTGATCTCCAGCTGGAGTCCTACTGCTATCAGCTCAGCTCAGCGCCCAGACCAATACTGCTCTGAGCCACTCCAGTATCAATTTGTACATTTGGATTTGTTTTTCTAAATGGATATTTTAAATATTTCAGTTTAGCTCCCTCCGGGATGTTCTGAAATGTTCTCAGAGTCCCTCCTGATCCTGTCACCTTGTAAACACATTAATTGAGACATAGTGTTAGATTCAGACTCACTTGCAAGGCAGAATTCGGACCACGTCGTTGAGCTGGTACGCTTCGATACACACAGCACAGTGGTTAAAGTCTGGATCCGTTTCCTTTAGAAGACATGGAAAACATCAGCCTATAGTGTTGTCTAAATTCAAGGTTTCCTGTTCTGAAGTCAGACTCTTTCACAAGTCCCAATAATTTACATTCAAGGGTCTAACAAGAATTAGTTCCCTTTTCACATGGAATTCATCCAGTAAATTACTGGGTCAGCTTTTATCACACTTTAAATGATGGGATGGCTGTACCAAATATCACCTTCAGGTGGCAGTAATACAAAGGATAGAGCTTTAACTGATCAAGTCAAACACAAAAGAAGAATTTCAGACAGAATTCTGTCAAATAGCTAATTAGTAATAACAAATAATGGCTTCGGCACCAGGGGTTCTTATAGTTTTTAGTGGCATTATGGAAACTAGTGAAGAAAATAATTTCCAGTTTATTTTACAGACAGAGAAGCAAATGGCTGGAAGATCTAAACAAAGACTAGAGCATGTCCTTACACTTAGTCAACATGACGAGGCCAGGCAGTGGCATTTGTCATAGATGCTGAGGTTAACAACATGTAGCAGGAGACAAGGCTGTTGTTAGGCATCACTACAGTGGAAGATCTAGAACAATTTTAATGGGGCTGCAAAGGAGGCACAAAATGTCTAGGCAGGGGGCATAGCTGAGCCTCTTCATCCAAATCCATCAGAAATTTCTTAGATGTAAAATAAATATCGACAAAACAATGCAAGAAAAAACAATTTTACATAGTTTTTGTGCCATTTACTCTTCTAAGAAACTTAAAAGACAACTTTAAAGTAGAAGCAAACCAATAAACACAAATTTTAGTGAAGATTATCAGACATCCAGGTCATATTCATTCCAAAAAAGTTTTTTTAAAAATCCACTGGACTTTGTTTCCAAGTTTGAAAACATTTCACTTCCCATCCACGAAGATTTTTCCATTCAAAATGAATTGAATTGAAAAACAAAAAAAACAAAAGAAATGTTTCACAAAACAATTGAGGAAATACAGAAGACAAATTCAGAAAAATAACTCTAGTCATCATGATATCAGTCATCTGGGTTAAAAACGACTCACCAAAAGAGCATAATCTAAAATCTCTTCTCTGGAGTTTATATCAAGAATAATTACTTTACAGCTGATCCAGTTAGAGAGGCTGGATTCCCTGGCTTGACGCCTTCATTTTTGCCTTCAACTGTTTATAAGCATTAAAAATATTATGAGTTTTATTTTGTGTAATGTAAATACAAGGACAAAACTTAGAGCAGAAAGGCTCTGCAGGTTGAGAACGGGGCTCTGGCTGTCCCGCAAAAATAAAAAAAAGTTTGAAGATTTGGATTCTGAATCAGGGATGACCTATCCTGTCTGCATCAATCAGAGAGGTTCACTCCGATCGGTGCAGACAGCAGAGGTTATACCTGACTCAGACGTTTAAAAAAGGAACTTTTCTCCACTTCTCTATATTATTTTTAGAAACAAAATTAGAAAAAAAGTTTTCATTGTTGGTTTCAAGATGAAACACAAATGAAATCTAGAAATCTTGTACTGAGGGCAGCCAATTTTTTTCCCATTTTATATATATTACAAATATATATTATAGTATAAATTATATATACTCCCAACATCACAACCAGTATTTGGATAAAAACACAAATGCTTGTCTTATCCAGTAATGTAATGGCTTTATTTCCACTACAGTGGTCCCGGCAGATTAGCAGGTATGATACCTGACCCTTGATCTGGTAAATCAGTTCTGGCTTTATTCACATGCAACCCTGACCCAGTAAATTAGTAGCTAATGTTGTTAGGGTGAAAGAGGCTTTATTAAAGCCCTTTGTAACATTTAAAGCAGCAGTTCCTCTGCATTTTAACTAAACAGAACATGATAAGAGAACAAAGATGTTGGTTCTGTACAGATCATTAGTCATCAATCATATACAACTGACTGCTCATATTCTCTCTTTTAGGTCCTTATGTTCTGTGTGAGAGTGAATTTTGGAACAACCAGAAGGGGCAGAAAACAATTGAAGCTATTTACCTTGTCCCCTTTCTTCACCGTCCTCGTTGTCAGCTTCCCAATGGCTCTCTTGGCTGCATCCCCAAGACGGCGCTGGCAGGCAGAGACAACAGAGTTTAGCGTCCAAGACGAAGCCTCCCAGCTTGAAGTTACAGAAAGCTCCATCCACAGAAAATGAAAAGCCTCAGAGTTTTTCCCCCCCAAAACATCAAGTTACTGCACACTTCAAACTATTACGTTTTTGTCCCACTGTGCAGTTGTGTAGCTAAACTGGAAGTGTGTTAGAACAACAAATTAAAGTGGGAATTTGAGCTACAATCATGGTCAAACAGATAATTCTGCAAATAATCAATTCTAAAAATAAAAATGTATTAACAAAAGATTAACTTAGTTAAAAACTCTTGATTAAACTAGTGAAACTCAACTAACCTAAGTTACTGTGTACACAAAGACGATGGAAAAACATGGTTGAAAACCATAATCATATACATGATATCAGTTAAACATGGATTTCATGTTTGAGAACCAAAGTTTACATTGAAGAATTTGGAATGTGACCAATAGCTTTTGACTAATTTAGAGCAGTTGGAGTGTGTTTAAACCAATTCACGATGCAAATCCAAGAGGCCTATAAAACCTTCTTTTGCAAAAGAACAAAAGCAGCATTCTGATGTTCACCTCCATCTGCCTTTAGACCCATTGTGTTCTGGTCCAGGATGGGAGGATCCCGATACTGCGTTCAGGTGCAATATTATGATACCTAAATCCTGTGCTTTCCTGAGCTTGGTGTTCGCAGTGTGTGCTTAGCTCACCTGGCTGCGGTCACGGCTGCTGCTGTAGCGGATCTTCTGGATGAAGTAAAATATGAGCCAGGCGGAGGAGATGATCATGAGGACGATGAAGGAGATGGAGACGAAGACCAGCGAACCGCGGTTCATGTTTTTGGCGGGATTACGGTAGCTCAGAGATACCACCACTGTCTGGTTCCGTTCGAGGTGAGCCAAGATCTCCTTACCATAAGCCTCAGTGATCATCACAGCAACAATGTCGCCGGTACCTGCACCCAGAACCACAGTCAGAAAAAGAATCAGACCCGTCCTGAGAGAAGGCACCATTTCTGGTTCGGAGGAAGTCCCTCTGTACCCCTCCATTTACTGGTCTGATACTTTCTCCTGATCCTCAGGGATTCCAGAACCCTGCTCGGAAAGTCAGTGATATCTGGTTAATTCTTAGTTCTGGAAGCTGTGACCTTCCGATCTGTAATTGAGCTGGGCCTTCTCAGAGAGGTCACAGAGAAATTCATCCTGACTGGCTAAATTTACTCTCATCGATCGTCATTAAGCTGCTGAACCCACACAGATACAACCTGCAGATACTTTCCTGTAGTGAAGATTCTGACCTGGTTTGAAACAGGGTCAAATATTATTCAGGACTAATTACCAAACTTGTTCTGGCCTTATTTTAGAAGAAGTTCAGAAATTATTATCAAAAGGTTACAAAACTGAGATCAAAGACTCTAAATGAAGGATCTGACCTTCATGGCCCATCTTGACAGTCTTGTCGGTGGAGTTGTTGTAGACGAGGACTGCTGAGGCATTGTAGGCGGCTGCCTTGAGGATCTTCTCTCTGAAGGTGCAGTTACCTCTCTGCAGCAGCGCTACCCAGTGGACGCTTCGGGGAGGAACCAGGAAACGAGTGTTTGGATCGCAGCCCTGCCTGTCCACCACTGTGAAGACACAACAATGTTACCATGGTAACTGACACATGATGAAGCATCCTTTATTTACACAATAGAAATAGTTAATTGTTGCAAATATTACGACAATAATAATGGGTAACATTGTTTGCATACACTGCACCGTTCACCACCAGTTAAGTACAAAAAGAAACCTTTGTATTTCAGTAAATTCAGATTCATGCAGTGAAAACTCCTCTTAATTTGGTTAGCCAAACATAACATTAAACCTTTAAGAGTTAAAAATCAGTATGTGGTAATATGAAGTTTAAGATATCTTAAAGCCACTAATGGTGTCCCTACTCAACATATTTTAAACCATTGACATTTATAGATCCTAACAGGACAACAAAAGATTTGGCAAAATTGCTTGCTGTATAAAGTGCAAATGTAACTCTGGCCAGTAGGAAATGGATAATCCAGCCTGCTGTTAGCAGCTAACCCCTGTGATAGTAGGAGGATGTTTCATGGTATAGGCTGGGATCAACCCCTTTTCTCTGATGGCGACATTGATTCAGAAAAGTCCAGCAGAGATTCTAAAGCAACTTCTGCTTCCTTTAAACACTTCTCAAGAGATCTCCTTAGCGACAATGTTCAAAGTCCTGACTGGGAAACAGGAGGGAACAGACAATGAAGTGACCAGTCCATAACTGAGAATGTTGAACAGTCAATAACGAACACACTTTTGCAGGAAAATGTAGAAAATATGACCCATGGCACTCGTCATACCTTGTAATCCTGAGGAGTAGCACCTTAAAAGGTTTGGGAAAAAGCAATGAAAAAGTGAACCAGAAAATATATTTGACTGACTGCAAGTCCAAATAGACAAAGGAGTGATGTTTTATTTGATCCAACAAAACTGCATTTATTCCTGACTAAAAATCAGAGGCGATCTGAACATGTGCAGACAGTTAGTGCCAGGCTGATCAAAGGAACAGGTACCGGGGATATATCTATTCCAGTTTTTAAATTTCCAGTAGTTCTTCACTTCCTGTCTGCAATAACAACATTCCCCAAGGGTTAAAGAGGAAATATTCCACAGCTCTGAGTTCCTGACTGAGTTATAACTTCATTTAACACCTCAACAGCTTAATCTCAGGATGGTCAGTGTGTGCGAAGCTACAGAGCTGCTGCTCCTTCCAGCAGATCTCTGCAGTGTCCTTGGAGCGCCTGACTGTAATCTGACACTTCAGAGCAAAGAGGCTCCGTCCTTCAGTAGCCTGAAAACCTCTGCAGTGTCTCAACTGGACACTCATATTCAGGTACTGCATCCTCCAGACAAAACACACAGCTGCAACACCATCTACAAGAAGAAAAAAACAACTCCCATACAGCAGCAGCAATGTCTATGAGACAAAAAGAAACAAAAACATGGTTGGAGTAACATCTGCTAAAAAAAAAATACATAAACATAGTAGCGCATGCAAAAAAACTAAAGTAAAAACAAAGAAACGCACAGCTACAGCAGAAAACAACAAGCCAGGTTGCTGTGACAACAGCAACGTTGGGCGCTGAGCTTGCCAGTTTTGAGGTAAAATGTCTGAAGGAATCAAATGTCAAGAGGTGTAACCGAGTGAAAGCAGTCAGCTTGTAACATATTAAGAAAACCTCCTGAGAAAAAACTTCAGTGAAGAACTGCTGGTCCAAACCATTTCACGTGCTTTCAGGATTCAGAAGCTGTTTAGAATCACAATTCGTTCGCTCAAGAATCTGTTCAGTCAGAGAGGGACGACAGCGAGGGGTCTGTTGGCTGCTTCTGTCCACCCAAGTTGGAAGTAAAATAACCAGAATCTTTTGACAGATGGAAAACATCTTCTATTCTTTATCAACAGGATCAGACTAACACCTATTTTCACAATAAAATCACAGTATGCACGCATTGCTAGGAGCTGATTAGACATTGATTACCAAAGTCGACCCCTGAGGTGTGTGGAGGGGCCAAAATTAAATAAATATAACATGAAAAAAAAATTATTAAGTTAATAAATGCACCATGAAATACTTAAATGTACAATTTATGTATTTATTAAATACAAAATTGAATAAAATGATGAATTCTAAGATGTAATAATCATCTTAGTTGATATGCTTTACAAAAGATGGAGTTATATAATTGCTTATTTCAAATACATTTATTAAAGAATGGAAATCATTATCTTGTTTTTTTTAAATGTACTGTATTCACTAAATAAATTAATATATAGTAAAATAGTTAAATTTTTTTTGAGGAGTTTGTCACTGTTAGGTTCTTTAGGTGGTCACAGACTGGACTTTATGGAAAATCTTGGCTGAGAGCAGGATGAGAAGGACAATGTTCAAGGAAGTGGTGAATTGGTGGGTAAAGCAGGAATCCCACATCCCAGGGCCCATGCTCACAGAGACCCTCATAGGGCTCTTATCTAAGCCTTAAAGGGTCCTTCTAAGGACCTTTTGCTTCAGTGTTATTCAGATAGCTGCTTAAAGTGCCTTTGAGCAAGGAGAAGACAGAAGCTCCTACCTTAGTGGGGTGGTTGGGTTTACCTTGTTGCTAGGTTGTGACACTAAAAACAATGGAGAGTAGGGGTGGGCATTTATAATATCGTTTAGTATTATTATGATACATTTCTAGTCATGATAATACGGAGCCCCTGAAAGGACATGGAGGGAAAAAAGAAACTTTTGCAAGATCCCGCAATACTTTTGCGAGATCTCGCAAAGTTTATTTTTTCCTCCATGTCCCTTTAGGGGCCCCGTAGGATTGCATACTGACATTGTCTCTCTTCATTCGTGTAATGTCGTCTTTTACGACTTCTCTAGAAATTAAGAACCTCTCCAAATCATCCTCCATGGTTGTAGCTGACAAATGGGCGTATTATCCTCCCATAGAAGTACACTTTGCGCCTCCACTGTTGTGTGTCTGGTTTACTTCCGGTTCGCTGACATGGGAAAACCTTTTGCAACATCTCGCAAAAGTATTACGGGATCTCGCAAAAGTTTATTTTTTCCTCCATGTCCCTTTAGGGGCTCCGTATGATAACAATAAATGATAACAATAAATTAGAATTAGCAAAGGCAAAAAAATCTAAAAAATGTTTTAAATATTTTTCTTTTTTTCCTTTAATTTTCTTCCATAGAGGCAAAAATCAAAGAATATGATGTAAATGTAGTTACTATGTTTAGTGATAAAAATCACGCTTCTTTATGTAACTACTGTCCCCCCACACCCCCGTAATATTTGTAATTTTGAAGCTTTGATTGCTGCGGCAGACAATAACAGCTATACATTTATCTAAGAATGACTGCAAAGAATTAATAAGGAGTGTTTTAATCATCAGTTTTATTGTTATCATGATAGTACCTCATTAGATCGTCATAAGCTTTAAAAGGCATATCGCCCTGCCCTAATGGAGGGACAGTAACCGTTTATTCAGGCATGGATTAAGAAATGTGTGTCATGATGAATAAACTAGAGATGTCCCAAAATAAACTCTTTCAGTTCCGATACAATATTGATATTATAGCTTTGAGTATTGACAGAAAGCGATATTGACTCCATACAATTGCAACATGAGTCATTAACACCTCTATTACTTATTGTTAAGTTTGGAATATTAGAAAAGTGTTGATCAAGTGAATTTACTCAAACAGAGAATACTATTAAGCTACAACCGGTATGAGAACAACTGACCCATTTATTATTAGCCAATTGGTTACATTAACCTTAAGCAGAGGTAGTAGAAGCTGAGTTTTTCCATCAGGTTTCTGATTTTACAGTTTCATCTGTTGGATGTTATTGTGGACTAACCTGCATCAGCATTTCACTGAATGGCTGCTTGTTTATTTGATTTGATTTGATGACCAACATAACAGAGAAAAAAACAGCGTCTGTTGTTGGTACGGCGGATGATGGGGAACAGAGCGGCGCTGAAGATAAACTGGTCCGCTTTGTGAATACCGACCGTGACGATGAGCAAAAAAAATAAAACTTAGATGTTGAGATGGGAATAATGACTTTTTCTTTACAGTAGCTCAGTAAAGGACTTATCATCTAGCATCTGAGACGAGAGGCAGAAAGAGACAAACACCTTTCAGTTATTTGTTTATCCTGACATCCTCCAAATATAACCTAAGCTTTATTGTTCCCTTTTACTTTGTGCCTTTGCAGCCCGACTACTTAAACCTGGATCTTTATCACTCCTTAGACCTGGAACTTTCTGTGTCACAGCCTCCTAAGTGCAGAGAATGTTCCAAAGAGGAAAAGGCTGCACAGGAGCTCTGAAGGTGTTGCTAAAAAAAGTGAAACTGAAAGAATGTCTGAGTTCTGGTTACAAATGCTCTGATTAGAATAATGGGATGGTTCTCTGGTTTCTGATTGTCTGGGTGATTATGCCACAAGTAGATGCCGTGATTTGAGTACCTCCGTGATGCGGTGCAGGTGTGAGGACGATGCCGCGGGCGTCCATTCTGGGGGAGTCCTGACCATAGGTCCCGTCCTCACTACTCATCATGTGGACAGCAAAGCCACGGTCCATGACAGTAGCATTCACCGTGGCGTCCTCGATGGAGTTCCTATCAGAACGCCCTGTTGATACTGAGCGGGCCTGAACCGCAACCTGGACCAGGACCAGCATCATGACAGCGGAGAGAGGGAAACAGGTCCACCTGTGCAGGTTCATGGTCCAGGTTACATGCAATCTGTCAGGAAGTAAAAAAAATAAAGTACATACATCATTTTATATCCCAACATGTCCAACTATGACCCCCTTCTCTAGATCCAACTGTGACCACTACTGACTTTATCCCGCTGTGTCCCAGAGTCCTGGAGGACGTCCTAAATATTCAAGCTCCACATATTCAAATATATTTTGAGTTTTAGGTATCTGTTCTAATTTCAATGTTGGCATTTTAAACAACCTGTCTCCATTTGACCACCAGTTGTACCTGTGTGGTCCTGTCTCTATAAACTGGGCCAATAAAGATGTTTCTGAATCTAGGAGCCACACAGGTTGTCCTGCAGGGAGTTTTTAAAATCCCCCTTACCTTGAATTGTTCTTCCTCGTCTCTCTGTGTCTTTCAAATGTTTTTTTCTTGTTAGTTTCTCTCAAAGGTGTCCTTCTGATATTTTTGTTCCTGTCTCGGGATTTCTTCCAGGTGTTCCACCCGTCTCTGGATGTCTCCTGTGTGTCCCACAGATGTTTTGTCTCTGAATGTCCTCCAGGTGTTAACATAGGTCACTGGACGTTTTCAGAGTGTCCTCTAGATGTTACCCTGTCTTTGAATGTCTTCCAGATGTTAACATAGGTCACTGGACGTTTCCAGAGTGTCATCCAGATGTTACCCTGTCTCTGAATGTCCTTCAGATGTTAACATAGGTCACTGGAAGTTTCCAAAGTGTCCTCCAGGTGTTACCCTGTCTCTGAATGTCCTCCAGATGTTAACATAGGTCANAGTGTCCTCCAGGTGTTACCCTGTCTCTGAATGTCCTCCAGATGTTAACATAGGTCAGTAGTCATTTCCAGAGTGTCCTCCAGGTGTTACCCTGTCTCTGAATTTCCTCCAGATGTTAATAGGTCAGTAGGCGTTTCCAGAGTGTCCTCCAGGTGTTACCCTGTCTCTGAATGTCCTCCAGATTTTAACATAGATTACTAGACGTTTCAAGAGTGTCCTCCAGGTGTTACCCTNCCTGTCTCTGAATGTCCTCCAGATTTTAACATAGATTACTAGACGTTTCAAGAGTGTCCTCCAGGTGTTACCCTGTCTCTGAATGTCCTCCAGATGTTAACATAGGTCAGTAGACGTTTCCAGAGTGTCCTCCAGGTGTTATCCTGCCTCTGAATGTCCCCTGGATGAGATCTTGTGCCCCTGGAAGTCTCCTGCGTGTCCTCCAGATGTTGTTGTTTACATAAGGGCTCAGGTTGACAGGTGAGATGGGGACATCAAGACATGCGTCTGTTTCATATGGTCCTCCTGCAGCTGAGCGTCTGTCTGGGTCTAATCTAGGTTTGATGAGGCTTCTGCAGTCATCCCAGCTCCAGTCTCTGCGCTTTGCTCTCGTCTACAGCTTTTGATTCGACCCGGTTCTGCTCCAACTCCTCTGAAGCCGGCCGACTCCGCTCCGTTCAACACATTTCTGCAGGTTATATCGGATCGGATCAGGCCGGCTGTCGGTCTTTTGTTCGGTTCGGCTCCAGTGAGAGTTGCTCCTCGGCTGCGTTTCTGGAAGCGGCGCACTGCGCAAGCGCGAAGCATCAGAAAGGGAGGCCTCGGAGCGCGAGTGTGATTCACCTTCTTGTGAGGATGGTTCTCGTGAATGTCGCGATACATGCCGAGATTTCAGTCAGCTGTTTGTCTGTTGATCAGGCTACATATCGATCAGTGATCGGAGAGGATGAGGCTGACACCTGCTGGGCGCCGTCTGGAAAGACAGCTGTAGGGTCAGCATTGACACAGAGACTACTGTAATAGACTGCAACCCTTAAAAAAAAATAATAATATGCAAATATATATATATATATATATATATATATATATATATATATATATATATATATATATATATATATATATATATATATATATAGTTTGGGCACCCCTATTAATGATGCTTTTATTTCTAAATATTTGCAACAGCTGTTTCATGTTGATATATCTAATAACTGATGGACACAGTAATCTTTCAGTATTGAATTGAGATTTATTGGACTAACAGAAAATGTGCAATATGCATAAAAAAAAACGTGACAGGTGCAAAAATGTGGGTACTGTTAGACATGGTTGTAATTTTAACAGTAATTTACCACACATCACACAGTACAAAGCCGCAAAATCATTGTTCTGGTAATTAACTCTAATTGCCATTGCATCATTGGAATTACGAATCACGTGACGCATTGTTTACAGTTCACTACCGCAGTATTTCAAATTGTTGTAAGTTACTATAATTAACGGTTAGATTTGGCTCTGATCCTTCTTTCGTTTTAAATTCTAGTTACGCCATCTTTTTTTTATTTTATTTTGGCGCTTAGAATAACTAGAACCGCAGGAACAACGAACAGTTTGCCGAGTAAGGATTGTAGATTTTGGACGTTTTGTTAAGAATATTACATTTAGTCAGTGCATGAAAAATTCTATATATATATATATATATATATATATATATATATATATGTATATGTATGTATGTATATGTATATATATATAGAGAGAGAGAGAAAGAAATACAATATTGTACTGTAAAGTAAGCATTCCTACAGTAGTGGTTCTGTATTTTAAATTTATAGTAACAACATTAGTTACTGTAAACTTGACATACAGTACCACTACTAATACTAGTGTAAATAAAAATTACAGTAACTAACTGGCAACACGGTTGCCAGTAAGTTACTGTAATAAACCCATTGAAATGTCTAACAGTGTACACTAATCCTTTAATTGATTTGAATACCCTTAACTACTTTCCACTGACTTACTGAAACACAAAATCTGTTTGGTAACTTCATTAAGATTTGAACTTTATGACCAGGCATATCAAATGCGTAACTATTGGTAAGCAGAGACTGTAGTTGCTTAGGGGCCCCCGACTTCTTAGGGGCCCCGTCACTGACTCCTGGTTGGCCCCCCATGCAATGGTGGACTAAGACGTCTCTTTGCAGTTTCAATGGTGCAAAAAATTTATATTAAACCCTCCTGGTGCTAAATTGACTGACCAGACCTTATTTATACCGCAACACATGCCAGATTTCAACATGATGGTGAGCCATTTAAACGGACACCAATAGCAAAGCAGACAGTGGTACTTTTAATTGCTATGTTAATACATGTATATAGTTCATTAGACGGTTGGTAAAAATACACTCATATAATATGTTTCTAACCACAATAAAGATCTTAATAGAATGATGTTTTTAAGTATTTTATTTTATTGCAATACGAATTGGAATTATGGGTATTCCAGAGCGTAGATTGGGTATTCTAGAGAGTAGATTAGGTAGATTAGTTACATCAGGGATGGATATTTCAGCAAGACAATGATCCAAAACACTGTTCCAAATCTCCTCAGGCATTCATGCAGAGGAGCAATTACAATGTTCTAGAATGGCCATCCCAGTCCAAAGCCCTGAATATCATTGAACATCTGTGGGATGATTTGAAGCTGGCTGTCCATGCTCGGCGACCATCAAACTTAACTGAACTGGAATTATTTTGTAAAGAAGAATGGTTAAAAATCCCTTCATCCAGGATCCGGGAACTCAATAAAAGCGATTAGGGGCTGTTGTTTTTGCAAAAGGAGGATCTACTAAATATTAATGTCTCTTATTTGCTGAGCTGCCCATATTTTTACACCTGTCAAATTTTGTACTTACTGCACCTTTTCTGTTAGTCTAATAAACCTCAGTTCAATACTGAAATATTACTGTGTCCCAGGCACGTGCAGAGGGGGGGGGGGGCTAAGGGGGCTTGAGCACCTGCCCCTTTTGCTCCATGATCCCAATGTGCCCTTTTGGCCCCCTTTTTTTTTTTTTGGCACAAATTATTATTATTTGAAATTATTATTATTATCTTTTTTTTGGCAAGAAAAACAATACAATAAGCCCTCAGGTCACATTGTTACCTTTGACCTTTTGAACAAAAGAGAACAAAAATAGCAAAAATGCTTAAAAGTTGGAAATTTGTTTAAGTTTGAAGTTCGTTTGTTAAATCACCATGACGTAAAATACGTTTTTGCATCATAATCTTGGATTTAGTTTCGGGGGAAAAGAAAGGCAAGAGACTGAAATAAGACATCGACCTTCACTCAACACAGAAAAGATGAGACAATGAGGAAAAAAAGAAAAGAGAAACTGACAAGAAAAAACGAAGAGGAAAGATTGAAGAAAATGTATATAGGTACTTACAAAATACACTAAGACACAAACAGAGTAGGCTTTTCTCATGGTGACATGCATTAATAAAATGTTTGCTTTTGTTCTTTTTTTTCTGCAGTTCCACGTTAAAGTTTGATGCAG